GCCATGTATACTTTTGATCTTAAAATAGCTTCTCATTTTTGTTTTGAATACAGACAGACCTTATTTTACTGCTTTCCCCTTGATCATGCTTTCCATGTACTGCGTGTTTCACAAATGGAAGGTCTCTGGTGACTCCACAGTGAGCAAGCATGTTGCCACCATTTTTCCAACAGCATTCCTTCACTTTGTGTTTCTGAGTCACGTTTTGGTAATTCTCACGAATTTTCGTTGTTATGTGATGGTGATCTGTGGTCAGCAATCTCTGGTGTTACTCTCACAACTGAATCTTGGGGCTCCGCAAACCTCACCCACATAAGACGTGACACGATCGTTTGTGGAAGTGATAACAAAGCAGGTGGAATATTATGTACCTTAGTTGATAAGGGTTTGGGAAAATCAACTCCCAACTTTGAAGGAAGTTCTCCTGTGGGTAAAATGCCATCAGACAGCATTGGACATAATGGAGAAACCATCTATGAAAGGAAGAGGCCATTGATTCTGCAGACTTCACTGTAGACTTATTTTAAGAATCTGCCATGACCACCCGGTCCACAATGTGGAGGCAGGACCCTCACCAGCAAAAATATGACTTGCTGGGAATTCCCTGATGGTCCAGTGGTTAGGACTCTGCGCTTTCCCTGTTGAGGGTCCAGGTTCGATCCCTGGTTAGGGAACTAAGATCCTGCCCCCTCCCCCAAAAAAGATGGCTTGCTGAAGCCTCAGATGATGGTTAGCGTTTTTTGCAATGAAATTTTATTTGACTGCACCAGGTGTTATTTGTGACACACAGGATCTAGTTCCCTGACCAGGGATTGAACCGTGGCCTTCTGCATTGGGAGCTCAGAATCTTAGCCACTGGACCACCAGTGAAGTCCCACAATAAAGTATTTTTAATTAAGGTGTATACTTGGTTTTTTTAGACACAATGCTGTTGCACATTCAGCAGACTGCAGAATAGTGTGAATGTAGCTTTTATGTGCACCAGGAGACCACCAGTTTTTGTGAATTGCTTTATTGCGATATTTGTTGTATTGCGGTGGTCTGGGACCCTCCCTACAATACCTCCTACATCTGCTTGTATAATTTACTGGATCTAGATCCTCTGTTTACCCTGGCCTTTTTTTTTTTTTACCCCCTTTTTGTAAAAAGAAGAAATACTTCATTGTTAGCAATGCTGCGTGTAAATAAGACTACAAAGACTAATATACCGTTTTCTCCCACGTTCCTTACTTTAACTTCGTATGTGTAACTCTGTTTTAGATAAGTAATTAAACTCCTGAGTGAAGCAAATCCTTTTAATATTTTACAATCCTTTCCTCCCTGTCCTGCCTGTAGGAATCCCAAGCCTGTGCACCTGTGTTGTGGCTAAAAATTAGTGTTGAGGAATGGTATTTCTTCCTTGGGTCAGTCACTTCTGTGGGTTCGGCTATTGCCCCGGGAGTGCTCTGAGGTGCAGGGTCGCTGTCGGGGGGAGGGGGGTGGTTACTCTGCCTCCGTCTCTGAGAGGTGGTCTTGGGTGGGGAGCCCTGAGCCCCCGCCTCCCCCACCTCAGGGCTCCCCGCTGGCTCCTCCTCTGGCTGCTCTGAAGACTGTCTCCTTAGTCTCAGGTTTCAGTAGTTAGTGATGTGTCTGGGTGTGATTTTCCTTTGTTTCATATTGCGGAGAACTGGCGCTGGGTTTCTTGAAGTTGTCGGTTTATGTCTTTCACCAAATTTGAGTAAACTTGAGCTGTTAGTTTTCCAGCTGTTTTCTCTGTCCTTCCTTCCCTGGGTCTCAGGTGTATGCTTGCTGCACCTTTATTGCACCCTTTTCTGACTCTGCTGTGTTCAAGGCGTCCTTCTGGTCCCACTGTCATGCTGCCACCCCTCTCCTCAGCTTCAGCTCCCTCCTAAGTCCCTGCTGTTTCCCTTCCCAGGATTTCCACTTGATGGTTATGTGTAGCTTTCCTTTCTGTAGCTTTCCTTTCTCTGTGAGATGTCCTCTCTTTATTCATTACAAGTATGTTTTTTTTTTGGCCCTGAGATTATGGTTACAGTTGCTGAGTTGAAATCTCTGTATGTTGATTCCATCCCCAGAGACATCTCAGAGTTGGTCTTTGCTGACCATCTTTTGTTTTTCTTCTTGGATATAGGTTATATTTTCCTGTTTCTAATTTTTTTTAAGTTAAGCAGGTTTTTTTGTTTTTGTTTTTAATTTATTTGTGTCTATGCTGGGTCTTTGTTGCTGCGTGGACTTTTCTCTAGTTGTGGAGAGCGGGTGTTGCTCTCTAGTTGTGGTGCTTGGGCTTCTCATTGCAGGGGCTTCCCTTGTGGAGCACGGGCTCTAAGGCGCATGGACTTCTGTAGCTGTGGCACGCAGACTTAGATGACTTGTGGCGTGTGGGATCTTCCCAGACCAGGGATCGAACCTGTCTCCTGCATTGGCAGGCAGAGTCTTTACCACTAAGTCACTCGGGAGGCCCTCCTGTTTCAAATTTGAATGATTAGGGACTGTGTGACCCAGTCATTGTGGATGGTGTGTTGCAGACACTCTGGATTCTGTTGTGTCCTCTGCAGAGTGTTGGTTAGAGGAGGGGGTGTGTTTGAGGGCGGTGACCTTGTCTGGGCTGGAGCTCTGGCTCTGTGTGCCCTGCAGTGGGCGGCAGTGCAGGCTGTGTGCGGTATTCTGGTGGGGACGGGGTCCATGGGGAGGGTTCATGTGAGGCTGTCCTCCCCCTCCCCGTCTCCCCTCACTTTCCAGCAGCTGCGTTCGCCCAGGATCAAAGCTGGGGCAGGACCCAGTGGTCTCTCATTGCCTTGCGCTGCAGAAGAGTCATGTGCAGACAGGGCCATAGGAGGCTTGGTCTGAGGATGTCTGCGCAGATGTTACCGGGAGCGGACTCTGCCTGGCCTCCCGGCAACCGAGGTGTTCCTGGGCTGCCTGGCAAATCATGTGCAGAGAACATGGTGTGCTGGCCTTTCACCTGCTGACCAGCATCTGTGTTGAGGTGCCAGTATGTGAGCATATGTGTGTGAGCACCTGTTTGCCCCTGGGCACTGCAGACGGTAAAGGGTCTGCCCCTGGTAGCTCAGATGGTAAAGCGTTTGCCTACAATGCTGGGGGCCCGGGTTCAATCCCTGGGTCCGGAAGATCCTCTGGAGAAGGAAATGGCAAACCACTCCAGTACTCTTGCCTGGAAAATCCCATGGATGGAGGAGCGTGATAGGCTGCAGTCCATGGGGTTGCAAAGAGTCGGACACGACTGAGCAACATTATCTTCACTGCAGAAGCAGATCTGCAACGCTGTGTGTTTGGCCGGGTTCTCCACGTTCGGGATGGTCTCTCTGCTTTTTCCGTTTTAAATCATTAACTGCTGGTCCAGGGTGCAGAAAGGGGTCATCCATGCACAGGGGTGGGACTGAGGCTCCAGGGGATTAGTAATTCGAAGCCTGTTGGAAGGATCTGGTGACTTGTGTTCCATTGTCTGACTCGGTCATGGAATATATATCAGACGCTGGCTGAGGGCACGCGCTGGGGGTGCCTTCCCCAGGAGCCTGTGCTGGAACCCCCAGGGGTCTGGGGTGACACTGGATGTAGGGTGTGGCCACTGGGGGCAGGGCTCCTGTGCTGGCCACCCTGCTATTGGTCAGATCACAGGCTCCTCCCACTCTTGGGAAGGCAGGGTGGGCACCAAACTCCCCCACAGCCTGGTGACAACTGGACTCCCATGTTGGCAGGTTTGGGTTCTCTTGCGACTGCCACTGTAACATCTGTGCGTGTCTTTGGATGGGAGCCTTATGTCCCATGGGGCACATTCCTTGCTCTGGGCCTCGTGTCAGTCCATACTTTGGATTGGTGTTCTAGTATGAGTGCTGTACTAGTGAGGAAACCCAGGAAAATTGAAAACGTGTGTCCACATAGAGCCCTGCTCCATGGCAGCGTGTGTTGGAACAGTGGTAAGGTGGCAGGGCTCCGAGCCGTGCCCTGCTGGGAGAATGGACATGTGGTGGCCATGGAGCCGAGTGCAGATACACTGCAGCGCCACCGAGGAGGGCGGGGGCTGCACACAGACTCATGATGCGTGCAGGAGAGGCTGCTGGTGGGGCGAACTCAGAAATGGGGAGCCCTGGGCGGAATTTGCAGTGCCGCCTGCCCAGTGGGGCTGGTCTTGGAGGACCTGGGGGCCGCAAGGGCTGGAGGCGGACAGACCCCACCCCCAGCGGCTCTCATGTGCCCACACTGGATGGCCTGGCTCCAGAGCGAGCAGGGGGCCTGCTTGGGCCCTCTCACCCACATGGGCCATGGACACAAGTCCTTCAGGGGCTGGAGCATGCTGGGGAGCTCATCTGGGGACCGCTTCTGTTCTCCCCCGGGCAGTTCATCACACTGACAGGACTTCTCAGGGTAGCAGCCATGTTGTCACACCCATATGGTGTGACGCCTTGCTCTCGTGTATGATGCAGTGGTTTTTAGTACATTCAGAGAGTTCTGTTTAATTCCAGAACATTCCATCACTCCATCCTCATTAGCAGACACATCCCCCCTCCCTGGCCCTGGCAACCAGGAGCTCATTCTTTGTCTCTGGATTTGCCTCTTCTGGACATTTCCCATCAATGGAAGTGCACACTGTGTGTTCTCTGTCTGTCTTAGGTTTCAGCCAGACACTTGAAAGTGAAAGTTGCTCAGTTGTGTCCGACTCTTTGTGACCCCATAGACTAAACACAGTCCATGGAATTTTCTAGGCCAGAATACTGGAGTGGGTAGCCTTTCCCTTCTCCAGGGGATCTTCCCAACTCAGGGATCAAACCCAGGTCTCCCGCATTGAAGCCGGATTCTTTACCAACTGAGCCACAAGTGAAGCCCAAGAATACCGGAGTGGGTAGCCTGTCCCTTCTCCAGGGGATCTTCCAGACCCAGGAATCGAACTGGGGTCTCTTGCATTGCAGGTGGATTCTTTACCAACTGAACTATAAGGGAAACCAGACACTCACAGCTCCTCAATTTTTGTTTTTTCATTTTAGGCAAAATATATCTCTCAGTGCATTGATGAAATCAAGCAGGAGCTGAAGCAGGACAATATCGCAGTGAAAGCCAATGCGGTCTGCAAGCTGACCTATGTGAGTGCCGGCCACTCTCTCTGTCAGGCGGGGGGCTGAGACCGCGCCTCTCCTCATCTGTCTCCTCATTCTCTGGGCCCAGTTAATTGGGGGAGGGGGACTGGGCAGGAGCCTGAAACCCCGGCTCTTATCACCACAGCTACAGATGCTGGGCTACGATATCAGCTGGGCTGCCTTCAATATCATCGAAGTGATGAGCGCCTCCAAGTTCACGTTCAAGGTGAGGGGACAGCCGCTGTGGGTCCTGAACCCTGTGGGTGGGGTCCTGGGGGAAGGAAGGCGTGTGTCCTGTGATGAGGCTGGGCTGGGAGGGAACACGGTGGCAACCGCTGGAGACCCATTCCCATCATGCATCTGTCCAGCAAGGTCTTGGCACCATTTACACCACGTTTTCTTTTGCGTTTTAAGTAGTGTCAGTGAAATTAAGGTTTGTAGGGGTGGTTATGTGTTTTGTGATACAAATTAAATTGGTAACCTTTCAAAAAAAAAAACAGGCAGGCACTGATCATCCCACCAGAGGCCATTGCTGGTCAGTTGTCCTGGTGCTTCTAAGCACCCTCTGCCTTCATCTCACGGAGCCTATTTGTGCCACTTTGAGACATTGCTTTCCTATTACTTGATATTGTAATAACTGAACACGTCGTCTCCCGCTTTAGTAAATGTCCTGGAAAGCAGTCTTCACCACCCGCAGCCCATTTAGGGGCATCCTGTGGTTCTCCCTGGGAACACACCCTGCAGGCAGCTGAGGCTCTGTTCTCCTGAGGGACCTCGTCATTCATGCTGCCTGCCGGTTTCTCCTGGGGAGGAAGCAAGATGCTTGGTTTGCCAAGGTTGGGCTAGTGCCCTGCCCGTGTGTTGGAGTGTCACATGTGTGTGTGTGGGTGTGCCTCCAGGCCACCCCAGCCACAGAGATGGGAGTCCATGGTTATCCCGTGTTTGTGAGACTCACTCCATCAGCTGAGCAGGCAGTGACAGGCCATGCTGGCTGACTTGACAGCCACTGTGTTCCAAAGACCATGCACTCGGGGTGGGGTGGCCTCTTCCCGGTGGGGGATGGGCTGGCCAGGGCTGCATGGCCCGCTCCCCTTGTATCCGACACCTCTGTTTGTTGCACTCACAGCGAATTGGCTACCTCGCGGCTTCCCAGTGCTTTCACGAAGGGACCGACGTCATCATGTTGACCACCAACCAGATCCGCAAGGTAGGGGCCTCTCGCCCCACCACGGGAGCACGCGGAGAGTGGGGGTTAGTGGACAGTGGATGGTCTCTGCCCTCCTCGGAAACACCAGTGGTGGGCGGCATGTGTGGCCCTCTTCTTGAGTTCTCTTGGCATTAGGGGACTGCCCGCAGTCACTCCTTTCGACCCCTGCCCCCTCTAGTGGGGGTACCTGCTGGGGGGGGTGGCACTTTCTGCCCACTGGATGCAGAGCATTGGCTGGTGTGTCTCTCCGGCCCTGAGTGGTTTTCAGCTATGTGGTGAGAGCAGTGAGTGCTCTGCTCTGCCCTGGCCCGAGGACTTAATCAGCTCTTGCTAAGAGTGGTCAGGGTGCCATCAGAGGCACCCTTCCTGGGCAGAACTGCCATGAGCCTGTGGCCCTGGGCCCTCAGATGCCTGGGGGAGGCCTGGGGCCCAGGAGGTGGTGTGGTCACCCTGCAGGGGACAGGTGAGTGGGCTCCTGGGCAGGCACTGTGGGGCAGGCAGGCTATGGGAGCTGCCCTGAGGCCTCCACATACCATTAGGTGGCTGCTGCCCATGTCTGGCTCTGCGAGTCACTCTGAGTGGAGGGATGTGCTGTGAGGCCCGGTCTCCACATCTGGGGTTGCAGTGAACTTTTAAGAACCTGTGTTTTTGTAGCATCACCACAGTCTAGAAGGTTAACTCTTCAGACACTTCTGGGTGCACCTTTTACCACATGTGAAGTGTGGGGAGGGTCCCCTCTCTGTGCCAAGACAGGGCTTCCATGCAGGTTGGCGGGATCTCAGGCTGGGGCATCAGGCAGGGCAGATACGCTTCTTCTGCTGGTTCTCCTGCTCCCTGAGACGTGGGGCTTCAGTGGAGGCTTCTCAACACTTGTGGACGGGCCTAGAGGAGTCATCTGCGAGTGTCTCCCTGTGGGGGGCCCCTGCTGTGTGCCTTTGGGCAGTCAGGGCCCTGGGTTCTGCAGCTTTGCCATGTTACACACCTGAAGCGAGGGGCAGCCCTCGCCTCTGTCCCCCCAGAGCCATCCCAGCTCTTCTTGGTGACAGAGCGGAACTGGCTGCTCTTCATGAATCCTTGTCCCACATGTCTCCAGACCTAGGGCAGGGCTGGAGGGCACAGCTGGGGCCCAGCAAGGCATGGTCAGCGCCCGCCTCTGACCCTTGCATTCCCTTTCCAGGACCTGAGCAGCCCCAGCCAGTACGACACTGGCGTTGCGCTGACTGGCCTATCCTGTTTTGTTACCCCAGATCTTGCCAGAGACCTGGCCAACGACATCATGACACTGGTGAGTCTGGGAGTGGGCCCTCCCTGGGCCTTTGCTCCCTCATGTGCCAGGATAACCTGGTTGTAAAGTTATGCTGAGGGCACTTGGGCGGGTGGAAAGAGCCTGGGTTCCTGCGGTGAGCTGGGACACCTAGTCACCATCTCCCCCTCCATCACCTGGTGAGCCCGACTTTCACCTCACCTCCTCTGGAATGGTCCTGTTGGGGAGGGCAAGGTCTGGCTGGGGGTGATGGTGGGTGCTTGACCCATCAACTGTATTCTTACTGAGGCATGAGTGGCGGTGGCAGTGGTCTCTGTCCAAGACACTTCTTATTTTCATCTGGGTGCAGTCTGTTGTCTAGTGGCTCAGTCCATCTGAAAAGCAGAATTCTCAGCCAGCTTTGATCTCTAGGGTGGGCAGGAACCTTGTTGTGAAATGTGGATGTGCTCTTAGAAATCGCAGCTCTCGATTCTAGTAAAAATTAATTTAAGAAAGAAAGAAAAATGAAGCTGGAATTGACTCTAAGAAAAACCACAAAAGAACAAAGACCTTATGGCCCTGAGAAGGTCACCAATGCCTCATTCTCCATGATTGGGAGACTCCCCATCTGACCACGTCACAGCCTGTGGGAGAATAGTGTATCCCTCCCGTGAGGGCTCTGTGCAGACGTAGTCTGTTTGCTGTGTGGGTGCTGCAGTCTTGAAGGCTATGAGTATAGTCAGCTTCTAGGTCTGGGGCCTGTTGTAAATGATGTGTCCATGCACGCTTCCGCCCCTTTGTCCACACCGTGTCCCTGGGCTTCCCAGCGGCCAGGGCTGACTCTGTACAGAGACTCTGGCCGACAAAGCCAATAGTACTGACCCTCTGGTCCACGTCAGGAGGTGTGAGGACCCGTCCAGGTGAAGGTGGTCACACGCCGACAGGAGGGGGATAGGGATTTGTCTTGGTGCTGGGTCTGGAGGGCAGGGCAGCTTTCTCAGGCCAGGTTCCCAGGGCCCCAACAGGTGAGGAGTATGCCCACCTACAAATAAGAGGCCCTTGTAGCCAGAGCACAGTCCTGAAGGCAGGGCAAGAGCTTTGGGGTCCCAGGTTGGGGTGCAGAGCAGTGTCCTGCCCTGGGGACGGGCCTTGGCGACCAGAGGAGCTCATTGCCAGGGCTGAGCGTGGAAGCGGACCTTGGCCTCCAGAGGGCAGGCTGGGGCCGTGGGCTCAGGGAAGCAGGATTTGATTCTAAGACACTGTTGTGTGGTCCTGTGCTTGGTGGGGAGGGGGCAGTGGGGTAAATGTGCAGACAGGGCTCAGAGACAAGGAGCCAGTTAAGTTGGAGAGAGGGTTTTCCTTCAGGTGATAGAGGTGAGATGCGGGCAGGTGTGGGAGATGAGCACGGGAGGGCGTGGAAGGTGTGGGAGGTGAGGGGAGGTGGGGGATAAGCAGGGGGTGGGGGCTGGGAGTGAGACAAGGTAGTGGGAGGTGAGCCAGGAGTAGAAGGTGAGATAAGGAGGTGAGGGGTGCAGGGCACAGGGGGGTCAGCAGGGAGAACTATGCCATCTGCCCCACAGATGTCACACACCAAGCCGTATATCCGGAAGAAGGCGGTGCTGATCATGTACAAGGTGTTCCTGAAGTACCCTGAGTCCCTGCGCCCCGCCTTTCCCCGCCTGAAGGAGAAGCTGGAGGATCCCGACCCTGGTATGTTGGTGTGAGGTGGAAAGGGCCCTGTGTGTCTGAGGGCCTGGGGGAGGGGTGCTACGTCTTGGGGCCCTGTCCTTGATCCTCCCCCCAGGGTACCTCCTCTTCTTGCCCACCAGCTTGGAGTCCACCCTTCTCCAGACCATTGTTTCTGTTTCTTTGGTGTGGGATTTAGAAACCAAGCCCTGGGCGCTGTTGGTGTTCATTCCTCCTGGGCTGGCATTGCTTCTGGGCCAGCAGACCCGGCAGTTCTCCCTGGGGATGTTGTTTTGTGGGGTGGGTGTCCTATACCTGGAGTGACTGACCCTCTGGGGACACCCCTCGAGGTGGTTGGGGGGAACCGTGCCCATTGGCCACAGTGCTTGGGGGGGCCGGGCCGCCTGCCTCGGAGGACACCCTGTTACTGATGGGGGCCCTCCCTTCTCAGGAGTCCAGTCAGCGGCAGTCAACGTCATCTGTGAGCTGGCCAGACGCAACCCCAAGAACTACCTTTCCCTTGCCCCGCTCTTTTTCAAGCTCATGACCTCTTCCACCAACAACTGGGTCCTCATTAAGATTATCAAACTGGTAGGTGTTCTCCTGGCTTGCCCCACCCGCTGCCAGAGGGCCCCTGGGTGTCCTTGGTGAGGGCCCTCACCCTGCTATGGGTGACCACCAGCCTCTTCGTCCCCTAGTTTGGTGCTCTGACCCCCTTGGAGCCAAGGTTGGGCAAGAAGCTGATCGAGCCTCTCACCAACCTGATCCACAGGTAGGCCTGGGGTTGGGTATGGGAGGGCACCCCCAGGAGGGATGGGGGGAGTGGCGAGCAGGCCTGCAGGTCTGCCGTAGCCTGGAGCTGTGTCCCTGGGCGCTCCCTTCCCCAGTCTGCAAACAGCCACAATTAGGTCGGTGGGGAAAGCTGTCCTGCTCAGCTTTGGTTTACAAGGGTTCTCACTGGTTGAGTTGAATAGCCTGAGGTGACTGTGTCCCCACCCAGTTGTGGAATGTTGTAGGAAACTTGGGGTGCCTGTGGTTGAATCGTGGGGGTGGAGCTTCCAAGTGCCAGGAGATCGTGCTCCTGGGATCCCCTGGGTGGCGGCCAATGGCTCAGGACACTGTTGGCTTTGCTTTTATTTGTGTGTTTATTTGACTGCGACAGATGTTAGTTGTGGTCCTCAAAGTCTTTAGTTGCAGAATATGAACTCTTGTTCACACATGTTCCAGCATGCAGAATCTAGTTCCCCAACCAGGGATCGAACCTGGGCTCCCTATACTGGGAGCATGAAGTCTTAACCACTGGACCACCGGGGAAGCCCCCGTTGTTGTTTGAAACAAATCAATAGTCATTATGAAGTAACCATAGTTTTCAGAGTATTAATGTGGGACCCTCAGTCTTGAGACCTGTTTCGTGGCCCGACTCTGGTGGCCCATTCTCTTGACCTTGGGGGTTTGAACTAGAGAGCGTCACTGTGAGAATACCAGAGTGAAATGAACACGCCTGGTGCCCACCCCCGGTGGGTCGTGTGGGTGGCGACTCTGTGTTCCTCTTGCCAGGTCAGGCCACCTCCCTGTCAGAGTGAAACCAGCTGGTGGGGTTTGGGCTGCTAGAGCGGGGCCTTTGGGGAACTTGGCTTCTCTTCATGGGGTTCACAGAATCAGAAAATGAGTCCTTGGGCTCGGTGTTTTCCTTGAGATAGTTCCCTGGGGGTCTTATTGGGGTGAACGGGAGGCAGGCAGCCTCCATCTTCTCGGCTCCTCTGTTTCCGTCTCCAGCACGTCCGCCATGTCCCTTCTGTACGAGTGTGTCAACACCGTCATCGCAGGTGAGCGCTGGGGTGACCTGCTCTGGATCAGGGTGCTGTCGCTGGCTAGGGGGCTGGTCCCAGGGCCTCACCAGCAGGTGCAGACACCCCTGGAGTTGAGGTTCTCACCTGGGAAGCTGCCTGGCCTGGCCCTGTGGACCTGTCAGTGACTAGACACTGCTGTGGCCAGAACCTCTGCCGCCTCAGGCTCCAGTGATAAATGCTGCACCCCCACCAGTGAGACCGTCTTCCTGAGCATTCTGGAGCAGGCCTCAGGGTGCTTCCTGTGTGGTGTCTTGTACAAGAGCTGCAGCCAGGAGGGTCCTTGGAGGGTACCTGCATGCCCTCCTCACGCAGTCTCCTAGAGCCTGTTAGCTGTGGGTCACTTGTCCCTGAAGCCCAGTTTCCTGTAGCTGGGCAGAGGGAGGTGGTGGCCCAAGGGTGCAGTGTCTCATTGGCTGTCCCTGCCCAGAGCTTGGGCTGCTCCTCAAGAGATCCACAAGCAGCTGCAAGTTCAGTGAGGCTCAGGAAGCTGGCCCCGGGCCCATGCTCATGACCACCGCATGGGCCATGAGTATCCCCGAGGGTCAGCGATGGTCACAGAGAGGAAGGGCGAGCATGGGACTTGGGAACTGGGGAGGCTGACTGGAGAGTGGCCCCTTTGTGTGGGAAGGTCCACAGGGAAGACTGAGGTGGGGTGGGATCGCAGACGGCCCTGGCCCTGGCTGTGGGCAGAGGGAGTGAGGCTGCAGATAGGAGATAGCCTGCTCCATCACACGTCACAGTCCGCAGGTCTCAGGTAGGGTGGCCCATGGGCCTGCCCCCGACAGGGACCTCGGGTCCCCGGGGGCTGTGGTTTGCTCCTTGGGCCAGTCACGGGGGCCCTCATCCAATGGTCTGTTTCAGTGCTCATCTCCTTGTCATCCGGCATGCCCAACCACAGTGCCAGCATCCAGGTATGTCCCAGGATCGGGGCTCCCCTCCTGGCCCCAGGTCACAACTGCATGTGGGCATAGATATGACCAGTATTATTCTCTTTGCAGCTCTGCGTTCAGAAATTGAGGATATTGATAGAAGACTCCGATCAGAACTGTGAGTTGCTCGTCTCTCCAGGTTCTGCAGGGCCTGGGGGTGCCACTACACAGTGGGCTGGCATCCCAGCGTGTGGCTCAGCCCTTTGCCCGTTGAAAGTGCCTTTGAACTCAGCCCTGTGCCTGCATCCATGGGGAGGCAGGACCTGACTGCAGGGAGGGGTGGGGAGGCTGTGGCAGCACAGGTGAGAGGTCAAGGGCACGCCGAGGCCTGGGAGGAGCAAGCCGGGCTTTGGGGGACCTCCCCATGGGCCTGCAGTCTCCCTGGAGGTTAACCAGACAGGCACTCCTGCTGGTGCTCCAGATTTGTTGATTTTGAGCAGAGGTCACTGAATTCTTCCTGGGAAGGGCCAGGGAGTAACTCGGGTCAACTCTGCAGGCAGGTCATGTGGTCTCTGCCAGGGTAGCATAGAAGCTGCCTGGCGGGTGTTGGCAGGCATGTCATGTGCCAGGATGCTGCCATGGATACAGGCTGTAGCCGGACCTGACCTGTGGCCCAGTTGGCTGCCCCTGGTGTAGAGAGTCGTGTGTTGGGGTGCTCGAGGTTGGCAGTGAGGGGGGCCTGGTGCCTGGGAGGTGTGGCCGAAAGTGCCCAGGTGGTTGGGGTGTAGCTGCAGCCCGGCCTCGCCCCCGAACCTCGTGCAGGTGTGACGGCCGCCCGCTGTCTCCGCAGTGAAGTACCTGGGGCTCCTGGCCATGTCCAAGATCCTGAGGACGCACCCCAAGTCTGTGCAGGCACACAAGGACCTCGTGCTGCAGTGCCTGGACGACAAGGATGAGTCCATCCGCCTGCGGGCCCTTGACCTCCTGTACGGAATGGTGCGTGCCTGCCCTGCCACCCATACTGCCCCCATGCCGGCCTGGCCCCTCCCTCACTGTCGCTGCCCCCAGGTGTCTAAGAAGAACCTGATGGAGATCGTCAAGAAGCTGATGACCCATGTGGACAAGGCCGAGGGCACAACCTACCGTGACGAGCTGCTCACCAAGATCATCGACATTTGCAGCCAGTCCAACTACCAGCACATCACCAACTTTGAGTGGTGCGGCCTGTGGGCTGGCAGGGCTGGAGGGAGGGAGGCAGGGTGGCATTGGGGCTTGCGGGGCCCTTCACAGACCCGGTCCCGCAGGTATATCAGCATCCTTGTGGAACTGACACGGCTGGAGGGCACCCGCCACGGCCACCTCATCGCCGCACAGATGCTGGATGTGGCCATCCGTGTGAAGGCCATCCGCAGGTTCGCCGTGGCACAGATGTCCGCGCTGCTTGACAGTGCCCACCTGGTGGCCAGCAGCCCTCAGCGCAGCGGCATCTGCGAGGTGCTCTATGCGGCTGCCTGGATTTGCGGGGAATTCTCCGAGTGAGTGGAGGATGGCCATGGTTTCTTCCTCCAGGTCCCCTCCCTGAGCCCCAGCGCCAGGTGGGGGATCACGGTGGGTGGCAGGAGCCTGGGACACGGAGCTGTTGGGATGGCCACTCACCAACCCTCCCACCCCCCCAGACACCTGCAGGAGCCCCAGCAGACACTGGAGGCCATGCTGCGGCCCAAGGTCACCACGCTGCCGGGACACATCCAGGCTGTGTATGTGCAGAACGTGGTCAAGCTGTATGCAGCCATCTTGCAGCAAAAGGAGCAGGCGGCAGATGCGTCCGCAGCCCAGGAGGTTACCCAGCTCCTGGTGGAGCGGCTGCCACAGTTCGTGCAGAGTGCGGACCTGGAGGTCCAGGAGCGGGTAAGCATAGCGGCTCGTCCATCTGAGGGCAGTTCAAGATGGGCCCTTTTGTGGTTCTCCCACTCTTGGCCGGGGGTGGGGCGGGCCAGTGTGGAGCCCCTGTGCTGGGGAGGCCCCCGATGGTCCCACAGGAGGAGCCTGGCGAGGGGCGGTGGGGGTGGGAGACGGTGAGAGAATGGGAGACCGTGGAAGGTACGTGGTCAGCCCGAGGGGGCTTCATCAAAGGTGACCACAGATCTGGTGGGTGCCGACCGGGAGGGTGGAGGAGAGCTGATTCACGAGAGCTTGAGGTGGCATCTGGGCAGTGGTGGCCTGGCAGCCTGTTTCACGAGCCCTGTGGTGATGCAGGCCCCAGTGGTCTCTGCGGTCGTGGTCCGGTTTTGGACATGAGCTTGTCTGTTGGCTGAGGGCTGTGAGCCCCGGTTGGCTGTGGTCCTGTCCCCGGAGCCGAGGTCAGGGCTGCTTTTTCTCGGAGCGATTGCCTAACGGGGTAGCACTCCTTCAGCCCCCTTACCCTTCATCTTGTTCAGAACCTGGCTTCTGTCACTGACTCTTTCTGAAGGAGATGGCAGCTGGTCTGTGTCTTTCTGGCTAGGCCCCACGGCTAAGTGGTTCCTCATAGAGCCTTCCAGACATCCTCAGCCGGGCTCCGTTCAGGAGCAGCTAGGTGTCTATGTGTGCTGTGTGGGCGGTGTCCTGTAGGGGCTGAGTGGCCTTAAGGGCCGGTCCTCTGGGGCTCCTGCCTGACTGCTCTGGGGCCCCCGCAGGCATCCTGCATCTTGCAGCTGGTCAAGCATGTGCAAAAGCTTCAGGCCAAGGATGTGCCGGTGGCAGAGGAAGTGAGCTCCCTCTTTGCTGGGGAGCTGAACCCGGTGGCTCCCAAGGCACAGAAGAAGGTTCCAATCCCCGAAGGGTAAGTGTGCGGCCATCAGAGGACCTGGAGCCAGGTGGCATGAGGGTCCCCCCAGGCTTCTGTCTAGCCAGGAGTGGTGGAGGGGACAGAAGGATGTTCTCTGAGGTCAGGAGACCCACTCGTCCTCACACAGACTGGGCGCGGGGCGCTTGGCTGGTTTTCTGGGGCCCTGCTTTCCCTGACCTGGTGCTGTCCCTGAGAAGGTCAGTAGGCAGTCCTTGCCTGTCAACCTTGGGGGCAGCCAGGCTCCACCGTCCCTGGTCTGTCTGCTGTGCTCACAGCCGCTGCCTGGCCTTCATGTCCTGGTCTCCAAGGGGACAGCAGTGTCCAGGGCCGGGCCTGGAAGCCAGAGCCACCATGTGACCCCTGTGTCCCACAGCCTGGACCTGGATGCCTGGATTAACGAGCCGCTCTCGGACAGCGAGTCTGAGGATGAGAAGCCCAAGGCCATGTTCCAGGACGAGGAGCAGCGACACACCAAACCACGGGCGCCCGAGGCAGACGAGCAGGAGCTGGCCCGGGTGAGGCAGGACAGTCATTCTGGCCTGTGGCCCATGCTGCTCTGGGCAGGCCTTGGGTGGGCTTGTTCTCTTGGGCCAGAGCTCCCCAGAGAGCGCCGTGGGTCCTGACTGCTGCCCTTCTGGGTGTGGGGCCTGGGGACGACGTGGGGACTTGGGCATGAGATGTGCCTCGTTCCCTGCTCTCCTCCTCCCCTGAAGGGACCATCTCCCTGCCCCAGCCATGGAGCTCCCGGGTGGTCCCACTGGCTGCCCCTCTCCACCCCTGCCCATGCTGATTTCTCTCTGTTGGCCCAAGGCCAACAGTGAAAGTGGTGAGGGGTCCTGTCCCTTAGGTCTGGCTCGTGCAGATGGTCTGGGAGGGTACAGGGCGAGCACTCTGCACACCCACTGATGTGCTCACTGAACCCTGTCCCACAGCGCCGCGAGGCCCGCAGGCAAGAACAGGCCAACAACCCGTTCTACATCAAGAGTTCCCCATCCCCCCAGAAGGTGAGGCTGGACTCCTTGTCCTGGAGGAACGGGCCACAGGACCCCATCTGCTCTCCATCCCTGGGCCATGTGAGGCTGTCAGCATGTCCAGGGGCAGGAACACAAGGGGCCCCCAGTAGCAACAAGCAGGGAGCAAGTTCTGCATGGTCGAGGTCAGGTTCCTCTGCCTTAGCAGGAAGCAAGTGAGCACAAGGGACATGGGCCCTTTGCAGGCGCCACCGCCACCATCTCTTTCCCCCTCCCTCCAGCCAGCAGGCCCGTCGGCCGCGTTGGGCTCCCCCGGGGATACATGGCTCCATGTGTGTCAGGCTTGCTGATGCCACTTACCAGAGGCAGGAAGCCCTGTGTCTCTGCTTCCAAATCTCTGTGTTTCCAAAGTGTGACTTTGGACTTGAAAAAGATTAAAATGAAAAAATGGACAAGTCTTGCTCCCGTCCTGTACTCCCTGCACTGACAGCCCTGCCCCTCTCCATGGGCCCTGCTCTGTGGCTTCAGCGTCATGCTGGGCCCTCTGCCCTGTGTGGTGACCGGCCTCGTTGTCTCCCTACAGCGGTATCAGGACGCGCCGGGTGTGGAGCACATCCCCGTGGTGCAGATTGACCTCTCGGTGCCTTTGAAGGTGCCAGGCAAGTGTCTGTGTGGGGTCAGGATGTTGCAGACCAGCTTCAGACCTGCCCCTGCTCTGGCTCTGTCCAGCCAGCATCCTCCCCACCTGTCCCCCTGCCAGCAGGGGGCTTGTAGATGGGTCCCCAGGTCCAGCCCCACACCTCCCTGGGCCCCCTGTCTACATCCCAGTGGTCAGGGCAGTGCCCCCGGGTGGGGGCAGGATGTGGCTCTCAGGCTGTGGGCTGAGCACCCGCGTCCCAGTAGGGATGCCCCTGTCGGACCAGTACGTGAAGCTGGAGGAGGAGAGGCGGCACCGGCAACGGCTGGAGAAGGATAAGCGGAAGAAGAAGAAGCGGGAGCGTGAGCGCCGGGGCACGCGGCGTCACAGCTCACTGCACACGGAGAGCGACGAGGACATCGCACCTGCCCAGCGTGTGGACATCATCACTGAAGAGATGCCTGAGGTCAGCTGCCCACCCCACCCCGCCCCCGGGGCCCCAGTCAGCCCTGCCCTGTGAGCTATGAGCACCCACCAGCACTTCTGTTCCATTAACTGTCCTGATTCCCCGCCCACGCTGAGCACCAGGCCCCAGATGAGATGCTCTCATGGGTGTGGACCTGCTGGTTTGTCTCTGAGAAGGGAGGTGGGGGCCCAGTGGGGTTGGGGGGAGGGTGGGTTGATCCAGACACAGCATTCCTGTTATCCCTCAGAATGCCCTGCCCAGTGATGAGGACGACAAAGATCCCAATGATCCTTACAGGGCCCTGGACATTGACCTGGATAAGTAAGTGCTGGGACTGAGGCCAGGGCAGCTGCCTGTGGGGCTGGACATGGCTTGGGTTCCCCACATCCTGGTCCCTTCCTCTGTCTTCTCTTGATTGCTCAGCATGGCCTGGGGTGAGGGTCCCGGCAGCAGAGTGGGCTATTTCCCTGTAGGCCTTATCCCAGGCCACTCATCCTGTGACCACCCCCAGGCCCCTAGCTGATAGCGAGAAGCTGCCCGTCCAGAAACACAGAAATGCTGAGACCTCCAAGTCCCCTGAGAAAGAGGATGTCCCCCTCGTGGAGAAGAAGAGCAAGAAACCCAAGAAGAAGGAGAAGAAGCACAAGGAGAAGGAACGGGAGAAGAAGAAGAAGGAGGTAGAGAAGGTGAGAGGCTAGGCTCACTTGTCTTGTCAGGTGGGGTGGGGCAGGGATATCCTGGGCTGTCAACCTCCCCTCCCCCATGGTGTGTGTGTCCTGCACGTGAAGGGCGGGTTCAGCAGAGCCACTGCACACAGGTTGTGTTACTTTGCTCCAGAGCAACACGACTCCACCTGGATATGTGGTCCCGGTAGGTGCCTGGACACATGGCAAGAGAGCTGAATGCACCACTGGCTCCCAGCGCACTCCGGTCCTGTGGGACATTGTGTCCTGTGCCTGTCAGGGCAGCCATGCCTTCTCAGGGCCCGTCTAGCTGCTCCAGCTAAAGGCCTGTGTTCCTGTGGTTTCAGGGTGAGGACTTGGACTTCTGGCTGTCTACTACGCCACCTGCTGCCACACCAGCCCCGGTAAGAGCCTGGGTGTGACCTGTGCTGACCGTGAGTGCTCCTCAGCTGGACACCAGTGCTTTTCAGCCTTGGAGGGCTATGTCTTAGGGGCATCAGGAGACACCCCCTCACTGGGGGCAGAGGGATGTGGAGTGATCCTCGGGCAGACCAGCCAGGTCTGGGCCGGCTCAGTCCCATGTTCAGGGTCTTGTGCGGGCGATGGTTTTGTGGCGGTCCCTTATCTCAGAGCCCGGGCCCCCAAAGCCAGGCAGCAGCCTTGGGTAGCGGCTTCGTGTCTGGGGCTGGGGCCTGGTGGCTCTGGGGTCTTCTGGATCAGTGCCAGCCAGCCTCATGCCAGGCTGCCTCTCCTATCTGCTGGCCACCAGCACTTGATGGGGGAGCCACACATCCTCGTCAGGAGGGAGGCTCATCAGTGCAGGGCGTTCGAGGGCAAGGCAGGTCAGGGGGTGCAGGACTCCCCATCCTGGGCCTCGGCTGCCTTTGAAGCCCCCCCTCCCCCAACCCCGGTGTGGCCCTCTATAGGAAGAGCTGGAGGTGAACACCACAGTCACTGTCCTGAAGGAGGAGCAGGAGGAGCCCCGGGGAGAGGAACAGGACGCCGATGAGGACAGGGAGCAGGACCTGGAGAAGGTGGGGGCATGTGCGCTGGGGCTGGACTGGGGTTGGTGCTCCCGTACTACTGGGGCTCCTAACAGCAGTCTCCTGTTGCCAAGCTCCCTGGGTCCTAATCGCACAGCGCTGTTGGGCTATGGCTCGTCAGAGGAGTGCAGGGCTGACTCAAGCCTGTTGCCGCTCCAGAAACCCTCCAAGCACAAGAAGAAGAAACACAAGAAAGACAAGGAGGAGCGGCCCAAGGACAAGAGGAAGTCCAAGAAGAAGGTGCCGCCAACAGATGAGGAGGCTGCTGAGCCTGTGGAGAATGGCACACTCGATGAGGAGCCCCTGCCGGTGAGGGTCCTCCTAACCCAGCCTGTGTTGGGAGCCACTGGAGTTAGACTTGTGTAGTCTGGGATGTGGGGTCTCCTTCTCCGCTGTTCTCATGCTCCTGACTTTTCCTGAGGGGAGCCCCCCTGCAGCCCTCACTGTCACTCCCAGGTCCTCACTGCCTGGAGCTGACATGTTTCTCTTTTGTCCACAGCCCATGTCCAGTTACACCCTTTTGGCTGAAAATTCTTACATCAAAATGGTAAGCGAAGCTTTGCTTTCAGGTGGGGCCGAGAGTGCTTGGGGCTCAGGGCTCCTTTCTCTGGACATGAGGGGGTGCCCACACTCTCCAGGCATGGGATCCCCAGTGGCTCCCCTGAACCACTGACTCTGGGTCCTCCTCTGCAGACGTACGACGTGCAGGGCAGCCTACAGAAGGACAGCCAGGTCACAGTTTCCGTGGTCCTGGAGAACCAGAGCGACAGCTTCCTCAAGAGCATGGAGCTCAATGTGCTAGACTCGCTCAATGCCCGGCTGGCCCGGCCCGAGGGCTCCTCGGTCCACGATGGTGTCCCCGTGCCTTTCCAGCTGCCCCCTGGTGAGTGAGCCTGGCTCACCGGCCTGGGACAGCAGCACTAGGGACAGACCCTGGGCAGCCTTAAGTCCCTGCCGCCTGCCCAGGTGACGGCATCCTGCAGCACTCCTCAGGCCCATGTCTTGCCCGCACCAGGTATTTCCAATGAGGCCCAGTTTGTGTTCACCATTCAGAGCATCGTCATGGCCCAGAAGCTTAAGGGGACCCTGTCTTTCATCGCCAAGGTACGGGGGTGGGTGTCCCAAGGGTCAGTCATGCACCCAAGCTCGAAGGCCCTGCCCCACACCCCCTCGCCCTGCGCCCCCTCACCCTACACCCCCTCTGCCCCACAGAACGACGAAGGCTCCACCCATGAGAAGCTTGACTTTAAACTGCACTTCACCTGCACCTCGTACCTGGTCACCACGCCGTGCTACAGGTGCGCTGCCCTCCCTCCTGCCCCCGGCTCCCTGCTTTCCTACCATGGGGGACTCCAAACAGTCATCTCCATGACGTTCTCTGACCTGAGGAGAGGATGTGCGCGGAGTGTCAGGTGACCGACTCAGGCGCCTCATGCTCAGCACATCACTGGCAGCCCAAACAACAGGCCTGGCATCCCTCCCTGGACTGGACACAGGACTCCAGACCCAGAATATGGGCAGGGCTGTGTCCTCCTGAGGCCCTGCTCCATGGCATGCAGATGGCTGCCCCCCCGCCCCAGACACATATGCTTGTCCTTCCTGCACGTCTGCGTCCTGACCTCCTATTCACACCAGGACCCCTGTTACATTGCATTGGGGTCCTGTCACCAAACCCAGTCACATGCCCACAGCCTGAGGGTCAGGGCTGAAATTTAGGGGGCTTTGGGGACACTGTTCAGGTGTTGACTTCTTACAGGACCAGTGCAGACCCTGAGCCACAGGCCCTCAGAGGAGGCGCCCACCCCTGGGCGGGGCCCCTTGTTGCCACCCTCTCTCTGTCCTTCCCACAGTGATGCCTTTGCCAAGTTACTTGAGTCTGGGGACCTGAGCATGAGCTCGATCAAGGTGGATGGCATTAGTATGTCCTTCCATAACCTCCTGGCAAAGATCTGTTTTCATCACCATTTTTCTGGTAAGACTGAACATAACTGATAGACTGCTTGGCCTTCTTCCCGCACACGGGGCTCCCCCACTGCCTGGGGCTGGTCTGGCCTCACACCGCCCTCTGTTGCAGTTGTGGAGCGAGTGGATTCCTGCGCCTCCATGTACAGCCGCTCCATCCAGGGCCACCACGTCTGCCTCCTGGTGAAGAAGGTGAGCCTTTGGGGTCTGCCGGGCCTGCCCAGCCTCACCACTGTTCTCCAGGGCAACTGCTGTGCTCTGAGCTCAGCCTGAGATGATTTTGCTGAAGGCTCTGACCCTGTGCTGGTGAGCAGTGTCGGCCTTTCCTTCGCCTGGCCTGCTCCTTCCTCACGCATCCCTGGAAGAGGTCATGTTTAGTCAATGTATTTCTTCTGGCATATTATTGTAGAATTTAAGGAAATTATCTGGGTCTGGGGAGTTCTTTTATGAAAAGTTTTTATCTACAAGTTCATTTTCTTTTTTTTTTTCATAACTGCTTTATTCTTTTTTAAAAGTTTATTTTTGGTTGCTCCAGGTCTTTGTTGCTGCAAGCTTTCTCTAGTTGCAGTGAGCAGGGGCTGCTCTCTAGTTTTGGTGCAAGGGCTTCTCATTGCATGGCTTCTCTTGTTGAGCACGGACTCTCGGCACACGGGCTTAGTTGCCCCTCAGCATGTGGGATCTTCCCAGACCAGGGATGGAATCTGTGTTCTCTGCATTGGCAGGTGGATTCTTACCCACTGGACCACCCGGGAAATCCTCAGTTTCTTTCTTTGATACTTTCAGGGCTCCTTGCTTTGTCTGTTTCTTACTGTGTGAGTTTCAATAGTTTGTAGTCTTCAAAGAAGTGGTTGGTTTCATCTGGATTATGGAGGTGATGGTGGATTAAGTCATCTGGTTCTTTTCTTTTCCTTTTAGTGTCTGAGGGATCAGTGGTGATAAGCTTTCATTCCTGATATTGATAATTGTCTCCTCTCCTTTTTGTTGGTTATCTTGGCTAGAAGGCTTATTTATACATTTTGAAAGCTCAATTTAGTGACCAATTTTTTTGAAAGGTTGGAGAATTCCTTGGAGGTCCAGTGGTTAGAACTCTGCGCTTCCACTGCCAGGGACCTGGGTTTGATTCCTGGTTGGGGAACTGAGATCCCACAAGCAATTGCATTGCAATACATGTGTGACCGCTGTGTTCTGCTCTTTGCAACCCCTGGGACTGCAGCCCATGAGGCTCCTCTGTCCATGGGCTTCTCCAGGCAAGAATGCTGGAGTGAGTTGCCATTTCCTTCTCCAGAGGATCTTCCTGACCCAGGGATTGAACTCAGGTCTCCTGTGTCTCCTGCTTTGGCAGGTGGGTTCTTGACCGCTGAGCCACTTGGGAAGGCCCCACAAGCAATGAGGTGTAGCCAAAAAAAAAAAAAATTAATAAATTTTACTGAATATTGCTGCAAATCTCCTATTTCTGCCTGCTTTGGGTTTATTTTGCTTTTTTGTGAATATATAAGCTGAAAACTTAGACCTTTCCAACAGGCCTGTCTCTTCTAATAAAGTCTTTAATGTTAGGAACTTTCCTCTACATACTTCTTTAGCTGAACCCCACAGGTTTTTATGATTCATTTTCATGTGTGTACAGTTCCAAATACTTTCTAATTTCTATCACTACCTCCTCACTGACCTGTGGACTTATTTCTAAGCATTGGGAGAATTCCCTGTTGCTTCCTGGCCCCTGTTTTCTGGTGTGACCGCTCAGGCCTCTGAAAGGTGCTGAGATTGGTGCTCTGTCCTGGGTGTGGTCCCTCTGGACTGCTGTTCTGTAGGTGTTCCTGTGAAATGTGTGTTACCCAGATCCTGCTGGTTGACTGTGTTCTTGATTCTTCTGGATCCTTGCAGATTTTCTGTCTGCCGGTCCTCCATGAGTGAGCAAGGAACATGAGGCCAGTGGTGGTCAGCTGGTCTACTGACTGTGGACCATTAGAATCGTGGGTCTGGGCGAGTGGATCCCCTCACCAGTTGGTGTGTTCGTCTCTGTCCCGTGCTGTGTCTTTGCTCTGAAATCCACTTTATCTGGTGTCAGTACAGCCATTCTGTGTGTGTGTTTTAATAACGTTTATTTATTTACTTGGGCTTCCCTGATAGGTCAGTTGGAAAGAATCTGCCTGCAATGTATAGGAGACCCCGGTTGGATTCCTGGGTCGGGAAGATCCCCTGGAGAAGGGGGTAGGCTTACCTACTCCAGTATTCTTGGGCTTCCCTTGGGGCTCAGCTGGTAAAGAATCCACCTGCAATGTGGGAGACCTAGGTTCGATCCCTGGGTTGGGAAGATCCCTGGAAAAGGGAAAGTCTACTCACTCGAATATTCTGGCCTGGAGAATTCCATGGACTCTATAGTCCATGGGATCATAAAGAGTCAGACACGACTAAGGGACTTTCACTTCACATTTATTTACTTACTTACAACACTGCTGGGTCTTTGTTGCTGCATGGGCCATTCTCTAGTTGTGGCACATGGGCTTGATTGCCCCACAACATGTGGGATCTTTCCAGACCTGGGATGGAATCCGTGTCCCCTGCGTTGGCAGGCAGATTCTTTACCATTTGGTCTGTGCTTACGTGGCAAATCCTTTGTGGTAAACCTGCCTTTATCCTTGTATTGGAAAGGATTTCTTATGGATACCGTGTCCTTATTCATTCGGTCAGTGTCTTTCACTTGTACTGTTCAGAGCATTGTGCTTAAAGTATTAACTGATATTTTTGGGTTTGTCTTGCCGTTAGTTTGTTCCCTGTGTTTTTTCTTTCATCCTTCTGCTCTCGCCTTCATAGCGTATGTGAGCGTTACCAGTGTCCCACGTTTATATGTTTACAGTCTCTGTGTGTCAGGAGCTCTGGGGACTACATCCCCACCCTTGGTGTTCACAGTCTACTTGGAGCTCTGGTGGAACATGAAAACCTCACACTTGCTTAGCCCTTAACCCTCCCCCCATACAGGAGGTGGTCTCAGGTTTTGCCTCTGCAGACACTAAAGGCACCTTTCTTCAGTGCGTTATAGCTTTACAGATTTCAGAGCCTCAGGAGAAAAGACAGCCTCGTCTGCTCACCCACATGCCTGCCATTTCTGTTGCTTTCACTGCTCACATTCCCACCCTTTCTTCTGCCTCATTTCTGTCTAAAGAATTTTAGATCAAGTCTGTTGGCTGTGTGAGTTCTCTCAGTCTCCTTCATCCGATCATTCTTTGTTTTACTGTTTGTCAAGGCTGTTTTTGCTGGGTATAGAATTTTTGCTTTGCTCATTTTTTCTCACAGTGCTTCAAAACTAGGCCATTTCCTTTTGGAGTCTTAAGTTTCCGACAAGGAATGTTTTCTCTTTACTGAGGAATGCATTGTTCCCTCCCTGGCTGTTTCAGGTTTTCCTTTGTTCTGGTTTTAGCAGTTTGTGACATGTCTTGGTATTGACTTCTTTGATCTGGGCTGTCTGCTGACACAACCCTCAATTCACGCAGCATCAGTAAAGCTGTCAGTAACATAGGGAATTGAAACACTGGCAGGGCCTCCCTTCCAGCATCTGCTCCTGCTGATCCCTGGGGCTCCGGGCCCCGCACACTGTGTCTGGACCCCTGACCCTGCCCTCTTCTCATTGCGTGCTGCCGAGATTAGAAATGAACGGTTCGAGTGTGCTTTCACTGGACTTAAACTTTAGTGATATTTCCACTCATCCTGCACAACTTTTACCAGAGGGGTTCCCTGGAAAGGGACCCAGCTCCTGTTAATGGTGTGGAGTCTGTTGAATGTGCTGATCTGTGCATTTCTGTCTTTTGCACAACTCAGAAGTTCTCAGCTATGATTTTAAGTACCTTTTCAGCACTGCTTTGTTTATCTTCTCTGTCTCGGGTCCCTGTGATGTGAGTCTTTGCTACTTCACCCACCTCCACCTCCTTTCCATTGTCTGTTCAGATTGGATCATTTCCATTAATCTCTTGTCAGGGTCATAGACTCTTCTGTTGTGTAAGTTCTGTTGTGTGCAGGTGGTGTATTCCGGTCTAGAAGTTCCCTGGGTTGATCTTTATTTCTTCCTTTTCTTTGCTGAGATGTTGTGTTCTCCTCCTTGCTTCAGGAATGTATGTGATTGCTGATGGGAGGTTCTTGGAGTCACTACTTTAAAGCCTGTCAGGTGATTCTGACATCCATCTCTTCTCCGTGGGTATTTGTGGGTTGTCTTTTCCACATGAGCTAAGATTTCCGTGGTCTTGGAGTGCTGAGTGATTTTGGAAGTTTTGAATTGGAGACCGTGGGCCTTCTTCACACCTGTGGAGAAGGTTGGCACTCAGGTTCCATCTGCAGGACATCTGGTGCTGCACTCAGCTGTTCCCTGTGCCCCTGAGGGGCTGGGCCAGGCAGGGGCCGTGTGTCCTCTGCGGGGCTGGGATCCCTGCCTTTGCCAGAGATCAGTCCTGAGCCCCTGTGGTTCTGGCCTCTGTCCAGGTCCTGCAGCTCCTCCCATGGGGCGTGGGAGACATGGGGTGTGGTGCGCCTGCTCCATCCTACCTGGAGCCCCTCTTCTTGGTTATCAAAGCACCCCAAAGTAGAAGAGGATGTCCAGAGGGTGGCGTCTCTTGAGTGCTGGCTGTTGTTTCCCTCACAGGGTGAAAAGTCGGTGTCGGTGGATGGGAAGTGCAGCGACCCCACGCTGCTGAGCAACCTGCTAGAGGAAATGAAGGAGACGCTGGCCACGTGCTGAGCGCCGCCTGAAAGGGCGGCTACATGCTGCACACACTGGGTCCAGCCAGGAGTTGACCAAGTCCACCATCGTCCACTGTGTAGACCCTGCGGTTTACGTTGCGTTGATTTACCTTGTCATCTTTTTTTACTTTGCTTCTCTCTACTCTCTGGCGAGCAGCCCTTTCCAGTCCCCAAGCCAGCTGGAGCTCCTCTGGCTAGAGCGGACTGTGCCTGTGGCCTCAGGGGCTGCCTGAGGGTGAGCGTGACCGCTGTCGAGGCCAGGACCTGGCGGGGGCTGGATGGGGTCCAGATGGAGTGGCACGTCCCGCTTCTGTCAAGTCGTCCAAATCCCACAAGTTCCCAGATTCCAGCCCGCAGGCCCTGGGGGTGGAGGCCAGGCCAGCTGCTCGGGGGAGACATTCCTCTTCACCCCACGCCAAGGGGCATGTCCTCCCCAGGACACACAATGGGGCAGCGTCTGCTGTCTGTCACATCCTGTTTGTTCCACCACTGTGTCCTGTGTATCTGCTGAGGGGAGTGCCCAGCAGGGGTCCAGGGCCTTGGTGGCCTCCGTGCCCAGCTGGGTGTTGCGGTGAGTGGTAGAGAGCTACAACTCTGGCTCTCCTGTCATCACTGGATGCTCTGCAGGTCTGTGTCTGCACCTGTGGAAGGACCCAGGCCTGGCCCTGTTTCCTTGCTGGGAAGCATGTGGGTCCGGGGGTGGCTGGGCCCCTGAGATGCGCCTCAGGGGCAGGGGGGGACCCCAGCCCACCCCCATGAGACTGAACTTTCCTCAAAGATGATGGTCCTCAATGACGTTTTAACTTCTTTTGATGAAAACTGTCACTTTAGCATGTAGAGTAACCTATTACAGAATCCTGTGCAGTGATTCTAGAATCTCTAAATTGTATGATGTGTTATATAAGAATTTATTTGCTATCGACATTCCCGTGTAAAGGAGAGACATATCATGCTGCTGTAATGATTTTGTGTCAAGATGATCCAATAAACTTGCGAAACAAGCGTTTATCCATTGGGTCTCTTGCCTTTGGCAACATGCCCCCGAGTAGGGGATTCTCCCCCAGTGTTGGGGGCAGCATACAGCCAGACCTCTGGACAGTCCTGCAGCACTCGGGGTCAGAGGGGGGCCACAGGGCACCCTTGTGCAGGTTGCATTGTGAAGCTAGGGTGCCCCTGCCCTTCTGCCTGCACTTCTTGTCCCCTCCGGAGGGGTGTGGTTCTCCAGGCTCCTGGGTCCCAGCGGTAACAGCAAGGAGACACCTGATACCTATCCCCTCACAGGACTCCACGGGGCCTAGCCAACTGCTGTCCCTTTCCAGGGAACACCTCTGGTAAAGGTTGTGCAGGATGAGTGGAAATATCACTAAAGTTTTAAGTCCAGTGAAAGCACACTCGAACTGCTCATTTCTAATCTCGGCAGCATGCAATGAGAAGAGGGCAGGGTCAGGGGTCCAGACACAGTGTGCGGGGCCCAGAGCCCCAGGGATCGGCAGGAGCAGATGCTGGAAGGGAGGCCCTGCTGGCGTTTCAATTCCCTATATTACTGACAGCTTTACTGATGCTGCGTGGATTGAGGGTTGTGTCAGCAGACAGCCCAGATCACCTCTAACCTGAAACCCAAAACGGGCAGTTGCAGAGCTCTGCATGAAGCCCCCTTGGGTGGCCCCCGGGTCACTGGCCCATCCTGCTACAGTGTGTGGGCCCCAGCTCAGGTCCTGGGCATCTGAGAGTCCCCCAGTCTTCCACTCACCAGTCCCCTGACCCTTGCTCCTGGGCAAGTGGAGGCCAGCAGTCCATCAGTGAAACCTTGGCTGTAATGTGCCGAGCAGAGGCCCCTTACCTGAGTAGGGAGGTTGGCAGCCACCCAGGCCAGAAGGGCCCAGCCCAGGACCCGAACTGCCAGACTTGCCATGGTATGCTTCCATCTTCCTTCATTGCTTCCATCCCCTCCCATCTGCTGGACTGAAGCTGAATAGAGCCAGTTTGGGCCTGTCCATTCACAGCCCACGTGGGGCATCTGAGAAAGAAGCCAGGCCATGGTGGTGACAGCAAGTGTCATGGTGCAGCTGATGTGACAGGAGCCCCAGGACGCACAGAAGCTGGCCCTGGATTTTACCAAACAGCCTCCCTTCGAGTCATCCAAAGAGCAAATTGCCCTGAAGGCTGGTTGTGTGCGGCCTGCCAGGTACTTTTTTTTCCTTTCTGTGCTGGGTCTTTGTTGCTGTGTACAGGCTACTCTAGTCGCGGTGCACGCACCCTATGGCGTGCAGGCTTCAGTAGTTGCAGCACCTGGGCTTAGTTGCTGTGTGGCATGTGGGATCTAGTTCCCTGACCAGGGATAGAACGTTATCCCCTGAATTGGCAGGCAGATTTTTTTTGTTTTGGCAGGCAGATTCTTAACCACTGGACATTCCAGATCCCTGGGAAGCCCTGCCCTGCACCCGGCACACACCTCACTTGGGTCCCAGCCCACAGCCCCGACAAGGACAGCTCTGGGATGAGAAACATCAGGGATATTTAATCATTCCATCACATGGCTGCGATCCTGCCCACATCTATGCTGCGCTATATACAAAATCATCTATCTCCCATCCCCTCCTCCCGGCCCCAGCCTGGCCCGGCCCCGGGCTCCAAGGCGGGTGGGGCCCCTGGCAGCAGTAGGCCTGTTCCACAGGGTCTGGCCGAGATGGTCCAGTGGGGTTCTGGCCCTGCACCACGGCGGGACGGGTCTGGCCGGCCCGGCCGCCTTCAGTGCTGCATCAGACACTCGGAGGCGTTTTCCAGAGTCAGGTTGGCCAGGTGTGGGGGCTCCAGACACGTGAAGCTTGGTGATATCAAGCTGCAAGGAGATGGGGCGCCCCAGTCCTTCCTCCCCTGCCCTGCCTTGTCCTCCCTGGGGGTCCTCTGCTGGGGCCCGGGCCCCTCGTCCCAGCAGGGGCATGTAGCAGGGCTCCAGACAGACCCTCGAGCTGGACTTGGACACCAGTGGGGTCACACCCAACACTCCCACGATGGGGTCTGTGAAGGGAGCGGGGCGGGGTGGGGGGGGCACTGGGGTTTTGACCTCTGGCTTAGGCAGAGCCCACCTGGGTCCCTGCGCTTGCCCCCACTGGGTCACTCACAAGGCTGGAGTGGTTCTGTGCGTCCAGGCGAGGAGGAGGGGAGCTCATGTTTATTCATGGTGTGATAGTATGGATGTGATTGCAGAGGTGACATCCTGCCTGGCCGCACCCATCCCATACAATGCCCTGTCTGCCCCCACTGACCTGGAAAAGTTCACACTGCCCACACTCCCAGGAGGATGGGCCTGGGGGGACCTTACCTCGTATTGGTGTCCATTCTGAAAGACATGACAGGGCCCTGGTGAGCGCCAAGCTTTGGGGGTAAGGTGTGCCTGTGGCCCTCAGGCCCCTCCATGGGGGCACATGTTCACCAGGGGTGCCTTCACCAGCTCTGACCACAGCCCCGCCACCCACCTGGGCCAGGGGTAGGACCTGGGTCTATGGGGACCCCCCAAACCAGGATGTGCGCCCTTGAGCTGAGCTCAGAGACCCTGGGAGGTAGAGGCTCGGTCCCCAACACCAGGGCCAGGTGCTGTCTCCTGTGGCTGCCTGGGCACATACTTACCAGTGAGGGCACACACACATTGCTCTTGGGGAGAGGGGACTTACTTGTGCCACTTATTTCTACAATGACAGCAGTTTCGGAGTCAGGGGCCAAGTGGCCTCGGTCAGGATACCCTCTCCCTGTGCCCAGCTACCCCCACTCACATGTACTGGAGGAGGCCCTGCACTGCTGTCTCCCACTGTGCTGACGACCTGCGGGAACACGGGCGTGGACACTCAGGGGGCCAGCTGCACGGCTCCCCTCCCCCTTACCCGGGTAATGAGGGGCCCCTTCAGGGAGACCCTGGGACCCTGTGGGCAGGGGACCCTCAGCACAGGCAGCCGCCTGCGCCTTAGCCCTACTCGCAGTTGTAGCCAAAGCAGACGACATGCGAATCCGTGCAGTTGGTGCAGGAGATAGTCTCGTACTGGAAGATGCCTGCAACACACCAGAGGTGCTGCGGGCTCCCCTCACCCTCAGCCTTGGGGGCCCCAGTTGCTGCGGCACCCCACAGCCAGGACCAAGGCTCACTCACCACAGTGACGCTGACAGTCGATGCGGCCTGTGGTAGGGCAAGGGCACAGATGGTGCCTTATTAGGCCTGGCCTGTTCCCCTGTTCCTCCTCAGCCCCTGCCTCCCAAGTTGCCCAAGGTTCAGCCCCTGTCCATTGGCCACTTAGGTGGGCCCCAGCCTTGTTGTTGTTGTTTGTGTTGCAGCATGTGGGATATAGTTTGTGACCAGGAATCTAACCTGGGCCCCCTGCATTAGAAGCACGAAGTCTTAGTCACTGAACCACCAGGGAAGTCCCATTGTTTGTTGTCGTTCAGTCATGAAGTCATGTCTGACTCTGTGACCCCATGGACTATAGCATGCCAGGCTTCAGGGCTTCTCCAAGCAAGACTACTGGAGTGGGTTGCCATTTCCTTCTCCAGGGGCTTCTTCCCAACCCAGGGATCAAACCAGTGTCCCCAGCATTGGCAGGTGGGTTCTTTACCACGGAGCCACCAGGGAGTCCCCAGCCCTAGCCTGGGATGGAGCAAACCAGATGGGAGGGTGGCAGCAAAGCTCTCAGGCCTCCAGGGACCCATAGGGGAGGTGGCAGGAATAGGTGGGATTTATCCATCAAGGTGTTCTGTTGGTGCCCACTGGATAAACTATTACCCCTCCAGGGAATGGCCCTTCTCCCCCATCCCCCCCTTTTATGACCTTTCTGAGTCCTGACACCTGGTTGCACCATGCCAGACTCCCTGCTCACATTACTCCAGCCTGAGCCACACCCTGACCAGACTCCCATGGCCCTGGGTCCTCAGGCCTTGGGCAGCATCCTCCCCGCTGCCCCGCCAGCCCTCTCCTTTGCTCACTTTCGATGATGGCATTCTGGATGAGGTGAACTTGCTCCCGGAAGATAGCTCGCAGCTCATTGGGGAAATACCCTGATAAGGGGAGGCGGAGAGGGGGCTGTCAGCCTCCGGCGGTCAGACTCAGGCGGTGGGTGGACTTTAAATGTCTGGGGGCGGCTGGGCTTTGCCTTAGTTTCCAGCCCGCGGCGATGGGCCCCTCACCCGGGAAGTACATCTTTCCCTGGTACAGTTGATCCATCCTCTGGTACACGGCGGCCGCCACTTGGTTCAGCTTCTCCCGGGCTGGGGCGGGAGAAGGAGGCGTGTGAGCCGCCTGGGTCCGGGCCTGGCCGGGCCGGGGGCTCCGCCCGTGCGGGACCCCCGCACTCACTGATCTCCGCGGGGATGGCCAGGTGCAGCTCCTTCATTGTGTCCTGGCTCCAGTCGCTGAGCAGCGAGCCCGACACGGGGATGTCGCCCACCCACCAGGACTTGAGGTTCACGTGATGGCGGTAGAAGGAAAACTTATCCGAGAAGTTACCGTGGCAGTGCAAGCAGCCGCGGGCCAGCGCTGCTGTCAGGCCCAGGCACAGCAGCAGGGCCATGGCCCGCCCCCGCCCGCCGCCGACCAACCGACGGCGCCTCCCGCGCCACTCCCTCGTCCGCCGCGCACCAACCAACGGTGCCCCCGTGCCACAAGCCTCCGCCGCGCACCAACCAACGGCGCCCTCTCGGGAGGAGCACGACCCCGCCCCGCCCGCGGCGTAGGCCTCGCCCCTGTAACGGGCAACCGAGGGCTCAGGTTCCTCTTTCACGCCCCGCCCAGGAGCGGCTACTCCAAGAGGAAGCTCCACCCCTTTGTTGGTCCCGCCTCCCGACCGCGCCAGACGCATGCGCCCACAGCCATCGCAAAGCTCCTCCTTCCAGACGGGCCTCCTGGTTCGAGGCCGCGTCTCTTGCTCCCGGCACACAGCAAGCTCCCCCCGCAGGCCTCCCCGGCTCTGTTTCCTGGGAGGCCTTGCCCTGGAGCGGAAGTATATCCGGTGAGGGGCGGGGCGGTCGTGTGCGAAATTACTCCGGGCCTGGCAGCGAGGCCGGACTGGCCAGCGGCCCGGGAACTGGGTCCAGCGGCGAACTTGACCCAACTCTTCCGGCAGCAGGAGGCAGGCGGCAGGTGAGTCGTCAGAGAGGCCAGCGCGCCCGGCGGGGAGGTCGGGCCCCTCAGAGGGGCGACCGCGAGTAGCAGGGAGGCCAGGTCCCTCACGGGGACGAAGTCGGGGAGTCTGGGTTCCTCAGAGGGGAGACGGCGGGGAGGCCGGATCCCTCAGGGGAGCGACGGGGGGAAGCCCGGGTCCCTCAGGGGGGCGACCGCGGGCGGCGGGGAGGCCGGGTTCCTCAGAGGGATGGACGATGGTGGAGGGGCGGGAGCCGGTGGCGGGTCCTTGGTGGAATTAGTGGTTACCAGTGGTTACCAGGGCCACCCACTTCTGGTATCAATAACCAGGACCCCACCTCCTGGTTTGGATGGAAAGTCCACAAGATTTTAGGGGCCCCAGAGCACTGTGACCCCCGCCCTCTGAAAGCAGTCTTCCTGGTCCCCAGAGCCCCTGAGCAGTGGGCACGGGCTGGGCGGGAGGTGTTTGGATGTTGGCGCTGCCCACTGGCTAACCCCCCTGCTTCATCTCTTCACTGACTGTAGGGCTTGCATTTGCTTTAAATGACTATGTACTTTACTAAATGTCACCGAAAAGGGAAGCTGGAGGGTGACTGGAAAATACAGAGAGTCACAGAGCAGAAAATAAATAGCCAGTGATGCTCCCACCTAGAGAGCCTTTGCTCATTTTGGAGTAAAAGTCTTTCATTCTTTATTTGCAGGTTCTTTCTACCCCTTGCATCTTTTTTTTTTTTTAAACCTTTTTATAGAGTCTTGGTTGACGCCCAATCAACTGCATTCATTCAGAGATACAGTTGGATAAATTTTGGCATGTGATACACGAGCATTTTGCATATTTCACCCCACTGCCTGTCTGCACTTCGTGATCTTGGACTTGCTTCTGTTACCCGTGGTCTCTACTAGCCGCTTCTTCGTTCCTTCCTCCACCCAACATAAAGTTCAGGGACTCTTATGAGCCCATTTTACAGACTCAGCCAAGAATGATGAGTGATGCCAAGAATCCTGGCCCTGGCCAATGTCAGGACAGGGCGCTGCAGCCTCCCAAAGCCCTGAGTGCCCATCCACCTCCCACCTGCCCCAAGTTCATGGTAGCCTGTCATTGTCTGTTGTACTGATTATGGAGTGAAGCAAGTGGAAGTCTTGACTGCCCCACCCCTGCCTGCCCACACCCTGGGGCACCCTGTTTCTCCCCTCCCTTCCGAAGGCACCCTTTGTTTGTTTATGGGGAACCTCAGCCTGCTTCAATCCAGAGCCTCTCCCCTCCCCAGAATGCCACCTCAAACAGCACCTGTCCCACTGCTCCTGTCCTGATGGTGACGAGGGTGCTTCCCCCTTTTAAAACCCTCCGAGCTGAGCTGTCCGGTGCAGTAGCCACTGGCCATGCATGGCTAATGATCACCTGAATGTGGCTATTCCAAAATGGGATGTGCCCGTCGTGTAAAATGCGCAGCAGTCTGGAGACTTGGAGTGCTAAGGTGGGGGTGGGGTAGGAGGTGTGCAAAATAGTTCCTTAGTATTTTCTATACTGGTTAGATGTTAAGGTGATATTTTGGTGCTCTTAGGCTCAGTAGTGTGTGTGTGTATATATATATATAAAATCAATGTTAAAGTCACTTGTTTCTTTTCTTTTTGTTACTTTTTAATGTGGCTACCAAAAAGTTAAAAAGCACACATGCAACATGTATTTCAGTGTCTTCCAAGGCATTTTTTTTTTTATTTGACTGCATCAGGTCTTAGTTGCAGCAAGCAGGATCTTTTTTATTTGTAGCATATGAACTCTTAGTTTCTGCATTTAGGATCTAGTTCACTGACCAGGTTCCCTTCCGTTGGGAGCACAGAGTCTTAGCCACTGGACCACCAAGGAAGTCCCATGGCATTTGTTCTTTATGCCAAGATGTCTAAATGTGTTCTTTATTTATGCCTTCTTTCTTAGGATTCATCATTTTCTGCTTCCTATCTGTGGCTTTAGTTATTTCTTAAATGGGGTGAGCAATTCACAGGATTTAGTCAAATGCTTGGTGTGTTGTAATTGATAAATTTTTGTTAGCCATAAGTTTTTAAATTGGTTTTACTTTTATTTATTTTTTTTTTGCTTGTCCTGGGTCTTTGTTGTTGCTTGGACTTTTCTCTAATTAGGGTGAGTGGGGACTACTCTTCATTGTGGTGTGTGAGCTTCTCATTGCCGTGGCTTCTCTTGTTGTGGAGCACAGGCTGTAGGTGCATTGGCTTCAGTAGTTGCAGCACGTAGTTTCAGTTATTGTCACTCCTGGGCTTAGTTGCTCCTTCATTGGCAGGCAGATTCTTTACCACTGAGCCACCAGGAAAGCCCAAGCCACCAGGGAAGCCCCAGTAATTTTTTTTAATAGACTGAATTTTTCTAGAGCAGTTTTAAGCTTGCTGCATAATTGAGTGGGAGGGACAGGGAATTCTGCATGCTCCCTGCATGTGCGCGCTGCCTCCCCGGTTATCAGCATCACCCGCCAGAGCAGGACATTTGTCACGGGAATGAACCTCCAGTGACACATCCCTGTCAGCCAGCATCCAGAGTACATTTGGTGGGTTCGCGCTCAGTGGTGCATGCTGTCTGGGTTTGGACAGATGTGCACTGATACGTACCCATCATTTTTTCACACAGAATAGTTTCACATCCCTAAAAATCCCCTATGCTCCACCTATTCATCTCTCCTTTAAACTCCCCACCCCCACAATGGCCCCCCACAACCACTGATCCTTCTTCTGTCCCCAGAGCTCAGCTCTGCCTTCTCCAGAACATCACAGAGTGGGAATCACGGTGTCACCTTCTCACATGGGCTTCTCTCAGTTAATGATGCACATTTACAGTTCCTCCTGTCTTTTCGAGGCTTGACAGTGTACTTTTTTTTTTAACTTCCCTAAAGGAGAGAGTATGTCTATCATCTCTCAAATCTGGACCATGGTGTTTGCCCACCAGGTGCCCCAGATAGCTGTGACAAGCTGAGTTCTAGGTGTGCCTCTCTCTCAACAAAAGTAGAAGTGATTGTTTCAGTCCCGAAGAGGGTTCTTGGAAGTACTATTTCAGTTCCTGGGCTCGAGATGATTCATATTCCTAACAAGGTTAAGGCAGTCTGTTTCATATGTGATGTTGCTCCCAAGCCAGCCAAGTCCATGGAAGAGTCAGCCATTAACCATCATTCCAGGAGCTGCTCTCCCATCTCCAGGGGTTCTTGAGATGGAGGTTGAACAAAAATTCCCCAAGCAGCTGGCTTGGAACTTGGGTTTTTACTCTGGAACTTCTGGACATGCCCCAGCTGGTGAACTCCTAACTTCCTGGAATTGCGAGGTTCAGGCTGCTTAAGCAAAAAAGGGGAATCTGACTTCAGAAACCAGGTTCTGGGAAGGAGACAGTCATTCCTGTGGCTGCTGAGTCCTAAATAAGACATCCAGGGCTGGGCTGCTTTCCATGGGGGCCACCCTGGGCACTTTCAGTGGGGTGGGGAGCAGCCTCCCCGGCCCCATCTACTCAGTTCCAGGAGTGCCCCATTCCCCTGTGGCCCCTGGGGGGCAAAGTCACCGCATTTGAGACCCATAGCTGTAGCTGAGCATGGAGGGAGCTCTCCCAATGCCTGGAGAGAGTGTAGTGCCTGGTGGATACCCTCCCCACAGACTGGGGTCAGTGCGCAGGCAAGTCCCGAGGACCCTGATGTTGAGAGGAAGTTTCGGCAGCCAGAAAAGGTGGGGCTTATGGTGGATGGAAGTTTGGAGGCATGGTTTCTTGTGTATTCCCCTTTCTGACACTCAGCTCTCCAGTCAGTCAGCCACGCAGTGAAGGCTCCTGCAGCTTTGAAATAAGTCCTCAGAAGGAAGAGGTGTGACTCCTGCATGGACACACCACCCACAACCTCTCCTGCATTTCTCTCCTTTCTGTCCCCCAACTCCCAACACTGTTTTGTTGAACGGAAAATCTAAAAAAAGAAAAAGAAAGAAAATCTGTGTTTGCCCCCGCGGGGAACTGAGGCAGAGAGAGGAGCTTCAGAGGAGAATCATGGCACTGGGCCATGGACACTTGGCAGCCCCTCTTTGTCTTGGTAGAGCAGAGGACAATAGAGGTGGGGACAGCTGGGCTTAAATCCCAGGCCATCGCTTATCTGCTGTGGGCTCAGGGCTCTCAGAGGCACCAGGAAGGGTCCCTGCTGTCTCACCCCCAGCTTCCTGTGAGGCCAACAATCCTGGTCATCTCGTGGCTTGCAGGGCTTGTAGACGCATCACCTGATTTCTGCCTCCATCACATGGCTGTCTGTGTCTGTGTCCAGATCCCCCTCTTCTTGTAGGACAGGGTGACCTCAACTTAAATACATCTGCAGTGGTCCTGCTTTCACATGGGATCGCTTCACCTGTTAAGACTTCAGCACATCTTTTGAGGGGGGATGTGATTCTGCTTATAAAAGGGCAATA